ACGCCAATAAAATAAGTAAAAATAAGTAATGTAAATAATTAGTTATGACATTATATCACTACAACTTCAGAACTAAATTCTGACTGCACAATCGTTCTTAACTGATTCATATAGATAAATTTCAAGAAAAAAATCTCAAAAGTTATGATTAATGTAGCATTGCGCCCATGCGTAAAATACAGTTAATCACAGTAAACTCCCAAAGGCTATAACTTTGAATCGCAAGTCCGACCAACAAATTCTGATTGAACCATTATTTTTAAATAGTTAATATAAGTATGTTCCAAAAAATTTTTTTTTAAATTTGCATGAGGTGGTTAAATGCATTTTAAATGTTTGATAAGTTTTACAAAATGGAATAAGTCACATAAACTATCTTCTTAACAGGATAGGTACAAAATATCATATAAGACAACAGGTAGGCACAGGTGACCTATGAAAATAAAACAAAAATGGAATACCTTTCCAAGTTTCTCCATTGGTAACATGCCGAGCGTTGGGTCCTTGTTGAGTGAATTAATCCTGGCAGAGTGCAATTGTTCTTTGTGATTTAAATTAAAACTGTTATGGTTTCCCATTTTTAAGATTTTTATTTATTGATATTTGTATTATTAATGTTTTATTTGAATTTGCAACGAGCAAAAATACTTCTGAATAGATACGTGTAATAATATATAAAGCACAAGTACTTATGACAAAAACATGTTGAAAATTAAGAGATAAATGAAAAACGAAAAAAATTAGTTTTCAAAAAAAACAAAATGAGGGAGTTGCGGCCGTCTGAGTTGCAATCAAGCACCGCGAAGACCAGATATTAAGAATGTGTATAGCTGAACATTGTTATTGTTATTGTGTGGTGTGGTAATTAGGTTTAACTAAGTATAATAAGTGTGTAGTGCCTATCGTGTCCGTCTCGAGTTCTGGGGAGGAAAATCGTGTGAAGATCGCCGGACCGCGGACAATCGACGTCAAACAGCACCACCGCGCCGTGGACAAAATTAATTGTCGTCGTCGTCGCCAAATGTTATATTGATGTTGACGTGCGCCATCGGAAATCGGAACAAACACGACAAACGACAACACAAGGACGCACTGTTAGCGATCACGTCGATGTGACGGGGTGAAAAAAGAAAAGAAAATATTAAAATAAAGATCCAAGTAAATGTAAAAGGTAATACCTACAATGATGATGATGATGATAATAATAGTAATAATTTATTATTATAAGAATATTTACAACCAATAGTGGTAAATGGTAATAAAGAACTAAAGAAGACGATAAAACAATACGAAAACGAACACAGGTAAAACGGCGAGCGAGAGCAGACTCGACGGGCGGCGAGCAACAGCAGCGCTGCAGTTGGCCTCAGCTCGGCGCTTACGTTTCAGTAACCGTGTCGGAATCGGAAATCTTTTCATGAAAATATGAAATGGTACACAGCGGCGGCGCAGTAAAGAGTGATGAGTGGCGGGGGAGAGACAGAGTCGTGGCCGTACTGCCGTAGCGAGTTAGCGTACGAGTGCGATGGAAAACGAAAACACATCGTTTTCTCCTACCAACACCGATTTTTTTTTCATTTTACTATTCTTTCTCCCCACTCCTCTAACGAAACTGACTCGCACGTTTTATATCATAAGCGCTGGTGCGCTGCTCTGCAGCGAGCTGCGAGCTGGCCAGTGGCCAACGACCACCGATCACTCGTTGTGATTAGTAAATACTAAATGTTGAATGGTGATTACTGATTAGCCTGTTAGCCTTACTGGCCGCGGACTGTTAGAAAAGAAAAAAGAATAGTCGGACAGCGCTGTTGTTCTGTGTTAAAAAAACATAATATTAATCATTATATCATTATATATATCGAATATTATTATCACGAAACAGTATTATAATCGTGGTTGTAGCCTTGTAGCCTTGTAGGTGATTGTGGTAATCGATGATTATAATGTACAGCAGCTGATGTCCGACAGTAGTTACTTTACTATAAAAAAAATAGATACTAGGATCTAATAACCTCGATGATGCCCGAACCCTTAGATCATATTATATAGTAGCATAAATAGCATGAACTTATATATATATTAAGTTTATAACATGTCATATGATATGATCTAAGCAGTAAACCACAGCCACAGAATAGACCTAGATAGGCGTCCTTATGACATACGTTTAGTATAAGCATTGATCATAGAATAGACTAATGGTATAAAGTTGATAGTATCACAGAACGACAGAACAACATTATAATATTTGTAATGAAATAGACATTAAAATACATGACACAATATAGAGGTATATCAGCAACCATCAGTAGCGTAGGCACGATTTTAGTTGGGTTAGGGTTTTACATAAATAAATAATTTAAATAATAATAAAAAAGTTTAGTAATTTGCTTAACAGTTTTTGTTTAATTAGTTAGGTATAACAAATTATAATTAATAATAAATTAACAATTTAATATATATCTATTTAAAATTACCAACAACTTTCAGACTTCATATATTGAAATGGTGGTAAATAATACCTATTTGTTTGTAAAATTCAAAAATTTAAGCGAGGGTCAGAACCCTAGAACACTACCCCTGTGTACACCAGTGGCAACAATACGTTTAACGTATATGAAATATTTGAAATTTGAATTTGAATCCTGTTTGCGCATCCCCACTGTTTCCTTGAGATGCAGAGAACGTAACACATAGAAAAAAGTGGGAGATATGCGTATCACAATGTTGCTGACATATCTTATATAGGTATGATACCTATATACTTTGTCATGATAAAATATACCGTATAGTCCATATGTTTGTGCCAATTATTATTATTTTTTTTTTTTATAGGCAATAATAATAATAATAATAACTATAGCAGTAAWTGCACAGATTATATAAAATTAAAATAAATATATAATTTTATATAATCTGTGGTAATAGCATAGAACAGTAATTATAGTGTGGTAATAACACAGATATAGATAATAAGCTAGATTGCTAACTAGTGATAACATGTGAAGTCATTATCCGCCATTTATAGTAGGTCAAATACATGCCGAAATCCCACCAAAATTTGAATTCTTGTTTAAAATATTTTAAATGTATTTTTATTTTTTTGTCATTGATATTGATTTTTGTAATTTTGTCACAATAAATTATGAAACTATTTTATTTTACAACATGTATATTTATGTTTTTATATTAGGTATGCAATATTGTTTTAATTTGTCAAAATACCTATACACCTACTACCTAGTTAAGAAACTGTTCCTTTAAATATACCTAAGTATTATTAACAAATTATAATATAATAATATAATTTATTGGTAATAAAATAGTATCTACAGAATAGCAATATAATACACTTACCCAATTTATATGTTTATATATATTATTATTATAAATTATAAACATAACATGAAATTATTCAATAGATCATTAACAACATTTTAAATTAATTAGACAATAATAATTTAACAAATTACAAATAATAAAATAAATTTGTTACCTTCAATAATAAAACACATTTTCAAACTTTAAATTTTCAAACATTTATTGACTATTGTTTAAAAGAAATCAGTGAAATCAGTGATAAATTGTGTTATCAAAATTTATAATAAAATTATAAGATACAAATGACCTACTAGCACGGTTTAAGATATATATATATGTATATTTTAAACCGTGCCTACTAGTAATAGTAGCATAGAACAGTATGATGGTAGTAATGGCGGATGAGTGGCTTCAAACGTTTATATGGTTCGTATAGGGAACCTAGCAATCTAGTTTATTATCTATATCTGTGGGTAATAATAGTGTAGTATTTGTTGTTTGATGTTTGATTCCGTTGCTGTGGTCCGTGTTAGTGCTTCTTATCACTCATCACCGTGTGTGATACAATCACAGATATAGATAATAATTATCTATATCAGCTGTGGATACAATATATTATAGCATAATATCACATATTATGTTCCTTAATTTCTTTCCACAAATAAATATTTGTGTTGGCTACACTACAAAAGGGTTAAATATGTACAACTTTCACTAGTTCGACGAACACAATTATTAGTAAAACGAATTTAACAATGCCTATATGCCCGTGGATAACGTACCAAGTGAAATATGGTCATATGGACAAATTTTGTTGGCCATGTTATAAAAGAAGAGGACAGATTTTGGAAAATTGATTTTCTGTCTGATGAAGTTTTTGACGCGGAACCTGAAACAGGAGAGCATGTACCTATAAACAATTACAGGCGATACTACTTCAGATTCCGACAACGAAGATATTTAAATTATTTATTTATATACCTATTTTATTTTTATTTTTAATTGTATTTGACGAATATTTTWTTTTATTTTATGCTAGTTTTAATAATAAAGAAGTAATGCTCAAAATAAATTATACTTGTAAATTATTTCATAATAATAACTCCTATACTGATATCAGAGTTGGGCATCATCCAAATAAAATTTTATTTGGATAATTATTTAGATAATATTTTATTGAAATAAAAAATTATTCGATTAATTTTCAGTAATTTTATCTTAGTTAATATATGGTTGGTATTTTGGTAATTAAAACATTTACGTATTAAAAAATAATAGTTAACATTGTATTATAAGTTGACGATTGTAAATCTTCTTTTATTTGAAATAAATAGAAAAATAAAAAAAAATAAAAAAAAAGAACTATCTAAAGAAGAAACTGAAGAGTAAAGAATTTGAATATATTTGTATTTTGTATAAGCGTTTATGTCTKAAAATTATTCAAATAATTCGAACAGATAATTATTTTAATGATTTTCATTTGAACAATTTAAAAAAAATCATTCCAATAATACTGTTTTCGAATTATTATTCGCGGTCATGTTTATGGTGTGTTACTTGAGCCGCTGTATACTGTATACACAAAGCTTGACTCCGCATGGGGGGAGAAATTTGGCCTCAGGCAGTCGGAGCTAAATCATTTCGATGCGCGTGGCGGTCGCACTCTCTCGTGGAACGGAGTATAGTGTAGATCTGTGTTCGTAGTTGTTCATTGAATAGTATAATATTATGTACGGCTGCTGTTGACTTCAATTATATTCTTTAAAAAGTAAGATACCATACTTATTTATAATAATAAATGCAATAATACCACTAAGATAATAAATTATCTAATAATAATATAAGATAGMAAATCAAATAATATATCTATAATTTACAGGTTTACAAGTATTTTTTTTTATTTTCTGAATAATAATTATTTGATTTAATTAGCAATTTTTAGATTTTTCAAGAATAGGCGTTGCATGTTCAATGTTCATTATTCTACTTAATATAGAATTTCTTCAATATTTGTAACATTTAAAAAGATATTCTGATGGAAATTATTTAATAATATTACATTTTATATTACTTGATTGAGGTTTAATTTGTATTTAACGAATATGATTTTCTTAGAAACCCGCTGTTATTAGGTTTAATACAATTATTAGTGTAAACTGTACAATACATTTAAAAGTATGTGGAAAGTAATGTATATCTACATGTTTTCTACCGACTGCCCTTGAATCTTCCTTTCACTAGGTAGGTATACATTATTTAATTTATGTCAAATAATAATATAATATCATTCACTTGATGGTACTATTGTGTACTATACAGATGATGGTACAATATTTTCTAAACGATATTATTGTTATTATTGAATATTGATATAGTTTAATTAAACGTATACCTACCTTAACATTATACAACAATATACATGAATTGTTTTTAAATTGAAGGAGCCTTAATGTAATTATTAAAGAAATTTAAAACAATGTCAATAGTTATTCACAATGAAAAATATTCGTCAGTTTCAAATTCATTCTATAAGATGGCGATCGACAGCTACTGCACCACACGTCTCCGCGGGATCACCTGAAGACCTAGAAACGACTAATGATCTTATCTCGGCCAAACACTATAGTCAGGTTCCAGGACCCATGCCATGGCCAATTATAGGGAACACTTGGAGAATGTTACCAATCATAGGTAATATTAACATTAAATTATATATTATATATGGTATTATATACTAGCAGGGTCCTCATTTAATTTTTTGAAATGTATACTAACAACTAAGCRCTAATAAGCAGCTCAAAAAATTATTAGGAGACAATATATATATATATATACTGTACTAAGTATAAAGTTATAACTCATTATCCTCAGTTATACATAAAATATTTAATTTAAACCAAACATTTTTATATTTCATATAAATAAAATATTTAAAATTATATCACATGGCCATACTTTCTGTTACTTAAGAGTAATAAATTAAAAAAAAATATTTTTGTCCAGTACTAACAAATTAAAGTCATAACCCTGCAATACCTTTAACGACGCTCTTGCAGCTATAGGGCTCATATAAGCATGAATGCACAATAAAAAATTGTTTAAACATGAATAATGCAACTAAACTTCTCTAAAATAGTTCAAATATGCATATGCATACAATCTATATGCATATGCATTTTATACTGAAACGATTCAAATATTGTATTTTTAAAGCTCAATCACTTTATATTATATTGAAGGCCCATATCAGATATCAGATTTGGCAAATGTTTCCTACATACTGTATAAACAATACGGGAAAATAGCAAAATTAGGCAATCTTGTTGGTCGACCAGACTTGCTATTTGTTTACGATGCTGACGAAATAGAAAAGGTGTATAGACAAGAAGGCGATACTCCTTTTAGACCTTCTATGCCGTGTTTGGTTAAATATAAAAGTCAGGTTCGAGGACAATTTTTTGGAAGATTACCGGGTGTCGTCGGAGTGTGAGTGTTTGAACTAAAAGAAATATACAATATGTACATAATTCAAAGTTAATAATTATATATAGCAATATATTTACTATTTAGGCACGGAGAGCCGTGGAGAGAATTCAGAACTAAAGTACAAAAGCCTGTTTTACAACCACAAACTGTTAAGAAATATATTCAACCAATTGAAGAAGTTTCCGACTATTTTATAAAACGGTATGTAATATATCATATATGTATATCTAAATAGTGCTGAATGATACTCTGCAATACCCATTCGTATTATATGATCTTCATTAAAATTCAATAGCTTCTCGTTTCTATTAATTATTAATTATAATATAATACTTTCCTGATTTATAATTGTAGGATGCAAGAAATGAAAAATGTAAATTCTGAAATGCCAGATGACTTTGATAATGAAATTCATAAATGGGCTTTGGAATGTATCGGTCGTGTGKCATTAGACGCAAGGCTAGGTTGTCTAAGCCCTGATTTACCGAAAAATTCAGAGCCACAGAAAATAATCGATGCTGCTAAATACGCACTCCGCAACGTGGCCTTATTAGAGCTCAAGTATCCGTTTTGGCGATACTTGCCATCCACACTCTGGAAAAAATATGTTTCAAATATGGATTATTTCATTGAGTAAGTAAGCAACTAATAATTATTCTATAGATATCTACATGATTTTAAAAAATATATCTTTTAAATAAAAATCAATGACTATTATTAGTACCTATTAGGTGCATCAAAAAATAGATACTTTTATAATATTATAGTTATACGTTTCTTGACCGAGACTGAAATTATTCTTCGACTGCACACACTACACAATCGTATCGCGGATATACGTAATTCTTACTACAATAATCAGAAAATTTACTTTTTTCCATCTTCGACAAAGATTAAACTTCTTATAAATTATAAATAAACAAATTCAGATAWAATAATTAATTTTATTTAAAGTGACAAATTCCAATTATTGGCCAAGATTAATAGAGATATGTTGGTATGTATATGATTTATCGATTTAAGTACCTATTTGTATTCTTACATTCAAWTATTAAGATTTTAAGACAAACATCGAGAACAACTTATCTGTTATCTACCTAATTTAACACTAAAATTTTTAAAGTATTTTAACATTATATATTTATACTCAAACGTAGCAAACATAACTTCAAGTTATAGAAAACAAAACAAATCAACTTAGTTGATTCAACTATATACAATTATCTATAGTTATAACAACGTTCATTGATATTTATTTTAACTGTTTAATCAATTATTCGGATAATGGCCTAAACTTGTAGTAGATTTAATACTCAAAAAAAGCGGGAAAGTGGGTATCGCTCTGCTGTACAGTAGGTTACTGTAATGGATGGGATTAAATTTGAATGCAATGATAGGTATCATTGTATACAAAAAACGATTCTGAACGGAGATGATTTGTCAGTCTAGGATATATTATATTTAAATATTGTCATATATTCTATTTTGAAACAAATATATTATTTTTCAATATAAGGACGCACTTTGCATAAGGCATGGTTAATCAATTTTTCCGAAAACATYRCATGTAGTTATCATAATTCATAAAACCTTATAATTTATATTATCAATTATCATAGATATGCATATACCTGGTTTGAGGATAAATTGTTATCATTACGCGATTTCATAAAAATTTAAAACTCAAACGCTCAAAACAGTTTTCCTATAATGACGCTTCAGATTTCTCTACAGCTATTTGAAGCAAAACTTATGGACAACTTAGTGTTGAATTTATAACCATAGATATAAATAAATACAAACAATATTATGAATTTTGAACTACAAAACAATTTGCAAATATTCATGGTGTTGACGAATTTTTGTCAATATTTGAAATTCAAATGCTAATGAAAATTTAATTTGAATTTCCGGTGGACATTTTTTTTGTGATAAAGATTGACAAATTTGTAAGGAATCTTGTATTAAATTTTCAAATCTTAAATTTAAAAAGAAAATTTTTATGAATTTCTAGATTAAAACAATTTGCGAATTTTTGTGTTTTTTATGTATTTTTTCAAAATTCAAACTTTGAATGCTTATAAAAAATTGTTACTATGAATTTATTTTATTTTTTAACTGCTATTGTAACATCATGTGACGAGTATTGTATTAAATTTTCAAGCTTTTCTACCTAAAAAATAAATTTTTATCGATTTTAATTTAAAAAAAAAACTAATAATGATTGAAAATTGCATATGCCTACGAATAGTTAACTTAAGTCAACATTTTTAAAAATTTCATGGTGAATAGAATATAGGTACTTATATAAACATTCGGTGAAAATTTTATGTATCTATGGTCATTCGTTTTAAAGTTACATCAAAAATCAAAATCGATTTTGTCGAAAACTGATTGTACGTAAAATTTCCTGTTTTTCCGTTAATTTTTATTTTGTTTATCCCRATTATTTAAAAAAATATTGAGAATTTTTTACTTTTGATCCCCAAAGTACCAACTATATTCACTTTCTGATCGAATAAGGTACTGAAGTCAAAAATCGAAGCACTTTTACTGCCCCAAAACGTGATGACAGACACAAAAAATAAAATTCACGGTTTTGACGAATTTTTGTCAATATATGAACTTCAAATGCTAATAAAAAAAATTGTGCCTTTGTATTTTTATAATTACTATAAGAATAACTTATGAGAAAATTTGTATTAAATTTTCAAGTATTTTGATAGAGCCAAAAATATTTTATCGACACTTCAAAAAAAAATTTCAGAAAAATTGAAAATTTCAGTTGTCTATAAATACCTCAAAAAAAGTCTRAATATTTTGAAAATTAAATCTGCTAAAGAAAATGACAATCTAAATAACTGGTAAAATTTTCAAGTATCTACGACTTATACTTTTTGAATAATAACAAATATTTAAAATCTTTTGATGATAAATCGTTATCGTTACGCTGTTTCGTAAAAATTTAAAATTCAAACGCTCTTAAAATTTTTCCTATAATGATGCTTCGAAATTTCTCCATRTTCTCTATATCTACGAACAACTTCGTTCAGAATTTAAAAAAGATTAAACTAAGTAACATTAATTCTTGAAATTACAATTATTTTTACGATTTATTTTAATGCCTTCATTAATTAAAATACTATATATTTAGATTAACTTTCAATTTCAGTTAATTTGACTGACAAATTTAGTCAGCTAAAATTGTAATTGTTAATAACATAGTAAAGAGTTACTTAAAACAATAACTATCCCATTTCTAAATGCGATATTTTCAAAGAATCATTTTATAATTATAATTTCAGGAACTTGAGATGTACATTTAATATTTGTGAGTTTCTAACAAATGATATAATATGCAAAATTATTACATTACAAAAATAGGCAGTCAAAAAATAAAATATCTTATGTTAACGTATATAGGTACTATAAATATACCTGTATCTACGTCATATAATTATTAATTATATACCTACTTGAATTGTTATAATCGTATTAATATTTTTATAGAATTTGTATGAAGTACATTGACGATGCAATGTTGAGATTAAAAAATAAATCACAATCGGTGAATGAAAACGAATTGTCGTTGGTAGAGAGAATTTTGGCTAATGAACCTGATCCAAAAACTGCATACGTATTGGCGTTGGATCTGATTTTGGTTGGGATTGATACGGTTTGTAGATGTTTATTAATATTTATTAAGTATGTTTATTATGATTGTAATTGTTGAGCTAGATTTAAAATAAAAAGCTAAAAAAAAAGTATGTTTATTTTAATAAAATGGTTACCTACGCTGTGTAATATAATTTTCAATTATGTAAATTAAAATTATTCGTAAGCACCTCTACAATTCATAAGTCAAAAAAATAAATATTTTTGATATATTATTCTTTTTTGTTTAATAAGTGATTTAGTGATCAGTGGCGTATACTATGTGTGACAAGGGGATCAGATACCCTCTGACGTTTTTGTTTTTGTTTATATTATGTACTATGTAGGATACACAGTGTATCATACACTATAATGTAATATTTTGTCATATTATTATATATTTGTCTTTGATGACAGGGTTTTTTGTTATTCTTAATACATTAAATAAGTAAACATGGATGGTAATTGGTAGCCAAGAACACGTATAGGTCTTATGGTGCAAGTTTCAATACGATCGTACAATGTTTACGTTTTAAATTAATTTAAGATAGCTAGATCATTCCACATACTCGATCAAACTCTAGCCATCTTCAATTGTTCTACGGGATTCTCAAGTGTAAAACATAAAATACAATTTCAAGGCTAATACCTCATAACATGCTTAATAAAATTGTTAAGGTATCAAGTCGATAGCGTATTGTTTTATGATTTATAGTTGATTTGTAAAAGTGAAAATTGCATAACTGCCGGGTGATTACAGCACTTAATCTATAAAACTATATACGTCTGCCAGTGACTATAGGCCATAGGATCTTTGTTTCTTATACATGAAACTATCATAGCTTCTACTGTTTTTTTGATCACAACATTTGGTATCAACATTGAAAATTTCAAGCTAATTGCGTGGTTATGAGATTTTTAATGAATTTTTATATAAACTGGAACCGTCAAAATTTGCTATAGCGGGGTAATATAGGGGTACCTACTGTAAACCTTGTCTTCATATTTAATAATTTACAATTCGTGAAAATATTTACACACGAATATCTCGCTAAATACTCATCTTAGGGGGAGGATTTTCCAATTTTCCTCTCCCATAAAGCTATGTTTCTTTTTTTTTTTTGATCCTCCCCATATCAGAAATCATGTCTACGCCACTGTTTTAGTGATTATACTGGGTATTGGTACATGAAGGCCTCCAATTTTGTATAGATTAATTGTCTTATTTGGTGAATAAAGAATACTGCAGGGACGGGTGGCAGTATTGTGATAAACAGTTCCCACCGTTCTTGGTTTTTGAACAGGAAAAAAAATGTATTGGTATATATGAGCATTTTGATCAAAAATATTTTCGGTGTTTGGATTAGCATTTAAGCATAGTATTTTTCGAATAAATATTTTTTGGAACTCGTATAATATATTACTTATAAGGTACCTACTGCAAACGCGTGAAACCGGTTTCTATTTTGTGTAATGCCACTTTCTAATTAATTTTAAGGTAATTTAATCATAGCATACTTTTGTACTGTCAAAATGTGTTGTAAATCATATTTTGATAAGTATATAATATTATTGATAATTTACCTTTAAGTACCTAATATAATATAATAGTTATACGAATATACAACATATTATACTAACACCCAGTAAAATTAACTGCTGTTTAGATTTCGATGGCTGTATGCTCAATGCTATATCAAATCGCCACACGACCAGAAGAACAAGAAAAAATATATCAAGAAATACTGACAATTTTACCAAATAAAGAAGATAAACTCGACGCAAGTAAATTAGAAAAAATGGTTTACTTGAAAGCGTTTATCAAAGAAGTATTACGGTAAAATTGTTTGAATTTATATTACACGTTTACGGTTTACTTACTTTATAATTATTTCAGAATGTATTCAACTGTGATAGGTAATGGTAGAACCCTTCAAAAGGATATGGTGATTTGTGGATACAGAATACCGAAAGGTGTAAGTTAATCGTTACATGAATCATAATCTTGTATCGCAAATTATATGTATACCTATAGTGGCTAGTAATATTAATTGAATGAAAAAAACAACTGTAAAATGTAGTATTTAATTTATCATTTACTAATCAACACAAAAATTCATTAATCATTTATTCAGTATCCTGAAATTTCTTGTATAACGGTTTCCCAAACTATAAAAATAAAAATATTTTTATTTTATTTTATTGTAATAAAAAAAATTACAATAAAAACTTTACTTTTATCAAAATATGCAGTGAAAATGTCTAAATTATTGATACTGACAGATTTTATATCATTGTAATTATTTTCATTGCTTTCATTGTTATAATATTTTACATTTTCTTTATTTTTATGTAAATTGATTTTTTTTGTCCAATTCACGTTTTCCTCTGAATTATCTATAGTTTTTTCGCATTTGTTTTTGTCGTTTCTATCTTCTTGTTTGTTTTGATCGTAAAACGAACTGGAATTATTTGTTATCCTTTTCGAGTAGTTTTGAATATTATAAGTTTGCTGAGATATCTTAAAGTTAAAAGTTGAAATCTACATAACATGCAAATAATATAAAAAATTAAAATTGTAACAAAAATAAAATATGTTATATGAATTTAATTGTTGTTAAACGGGAACACGAAAACACTAATAATAACTATAATGAACTTTTCTTTGAACAGTTAACATTTTTACTTAAAAATTCCTTCAAAGTAATGACTGCTAAAAATTCTAACTAACCTACCTAACCTAAGTTTATTTTTAAATTAGATTCAGTTAGTTTTTCCAACAATTGTTACGGGAAACATGGAGGAATACGTAACGGACTCTAAACACTTTAAGCCTGAAAGGTGGTTGAAACAATCGTCAGATTATATTCATCCATTTGCTTCGTTACCTTACGGGCATGGGCCAAGAATGTGTTTAGGAAGAAGATTTGCTGACTTAGAAATGCAAGTCTTTTTGGCAAAGGTAATTTAAGCTTACCCAATTATAATTAATTCAAACAGCTATTTTAATTTGTATATTTAATCTACTTCTAATAAATGTTTTATCCTGCGAATAAGTTATGATACGACATTATAACCAATATCATTGTAAAACATAGTTAATAATGTTTAATTTTGTATAGTTGATACGGTCGCATAAACTTGAGTATTTGCATAAACCATTGAAATACAAAGTAACATTCATGTACGCACCTGATGGCGAACTTAAGTTCAAAATGACTGAGAGGCCTACGTCGTAACAAAACCAACAAATCGACAAACAATTTCATATGGACAAAAACTAAGAAAACCTTTTTTTATGTTATAGTTTATTTTTATTACCTTTTTATTATTATGTTTATTATATTGTAACTTTTGCAGATTTATCGTGCTATTAAATGTTGAATTGGATAATGGATTTAAATTAATATCCACAGCCTTATTTTCCAATCCCAATTTTTGATTTTTTTCAATATTCGGGTCCGTATACTTAGAACATATGTTGTAAGCCACATTTTTATCGTAATTCTGCTTATGAAATGATTCTATTATTGGTTTAATATTCCTTTATGTCAAAAATTATTAATAAAACTGTAGCTCTATTSATGTTCAATTAAATATTTTTCAAAAATCATAAATACTTGTTATATTTATTTCTTCTTAGACTTTCTGCTTTGTTTAAGAATCCATTATTTATACTGTAGGTATTTTTACCATTATGACTATAAAAACCCCAATTATGATTATCATGGTAATCATTTAAATCATTCATTTTGTAGTTTTCTATATAATGATCTGTATTCTGACAATTTTTATCTTAAATATAGATAAACGAAAAAAAATCGTTTTTAAATTAAATATAATATTATTATTTGTAAATTATATTTAATATTCATAAATAGGGCTGGAAATKTAATCCCCTAAAATAAAAATAAAAACTCAAGTTATGCACTATATGAAAATGCATTTTGAAATATATTAGTATACAATTTAGAAGATATAAGTTACAACTTTAATGTGTTGTACTTTTAAGTACAGCAGTTTTAATCAACAGACACTTTAAATACTATACATATA